GATTAAAATCTATTGAGCAAAACAGGGAACCATGAGCCCATTGTGATATAATAGGTAAAATAAGCTGAAACTCTGATGAAAAATTGAATGCCTGTAAAATAAAAATAACCTCCCCAACAAAAACATTACTTAAAAGGGAAACTAGTAACTGTGTAGTAAAAACCTGGGTGGAAAGACCACCTGAATTAAAGGGTCAGCATCATACGGTCTTAACAAGACAAAATCCTCTTGCCATCTAATGAAAGCTTCCAGGGGTGGAGATCATCATTGTGGCCAATAGGATGGTATATTATAGATGCATTTGACTTTTGATGGTACAATCATAAAAGACTACACTGGGAGAAGCCAGCTACCATTTAGTAGGGGTAACCAAGCAGCCTTTAAAAGAAGACCACAGAGTGAGGGCATTTTTTTGCTAACATCCAGCACTAACTGCTAGTCACATAGTAGGATGCACTTTTAAAATTCTTTTTAAGTTGAATTATTATTTATTTATTGTGTGTATGCATGTGTATGTGTGGATATGCATATAGAGAACTAGATTTCTCCATGTGGGTCTTGGGGATTGAGCTTCAAGTCTCCAAGCTTGGCAGCAAGTGCCTTTAAGTGATGAGGAATCTCACAAGCCCAGATGTTCTTATTTTAAACTGGAAATCTCCCTAAAGTATCTTGGAGTGTTGAAGCATCAGGTCAATAACTTCCTGTTCAATGGTTTTAGAAAGAAAAAAAGAAGATTATTTGTACTATAATTGGAACATTCCTCTGAGATTCTTAAAATTTTTGGTTATGCAAAGTAAAAAAATAGTGTATTATAGACTGTGCTCTTGGCTTTAAAAATAAATTTGTCTTTTTAAAGGGGGTACTGATTTTTGTAAGTTTTAGTTAAAAAATATTACCAAGCTGCTTTCGATGTACATTTAAGTGGCTTCTAATGCTACTATTAAAAAGCATCTAGTCCTTTGTTATTTTGAACAATGCTATTAAATATCTTTTTTTGACATTTTTGTGTCATTATTTAGGTTTTGTTCAAGAATAAATGCCCAGAAATCAAGTTACTGCATGAATGGATGTCAGTTTAGCCATGGCATTCTGGGAAGCCTCCTACAATGTCTTTAAAAGTAAATGAAATTCATAATTTTGTAGCTATTTTTCCCCCACACTTAGAAAGTACTTTCTATAAGAGTGGGAATTTATCTCTTTGATTATCACTGTCCTGAACATTATGGCACTGAATATGTATTTGGAGTAGCAATAATTGCAAGCATTTAGTAAGCACTTGGCTCTGTCCTTAGGAGATTAATTCACTTATTCCTGGAATAGCTCTTAGGAAGTAGGTGGTGTGATCATTTCTGTTGGTGAAGAAACTAAGGCACAGAGAGACTCAGACCCCCCTCCGTCAGATAGAGCTAGATACCAGACAGTTTTCCTTCAGTTTCCAAGGGGCCACTATTCTGTCCCACTTCTCTCACTGAGTACGTTAATCCATGAACAGATAGTCAACATGTTTCTTTGAGACTTTAACCCGTTACAGGCTTTGGGAACTTCTTTTTTCCTTGCTAAATAAAAATATTGAGAATGACCCACACTCCCGAAGATCTCAGTTTTATGGTCCTCCACTGCAGCCCCGACTTACTACCTAATGATCTGCTTCTAGAATTAATACCCATAGAGGCATAAACTATAAATCATCCTTAGCCAGAGAAATTCTGGAGATATAAACAGTATGTGTGCTTTGTGTCACAGATAAAATGGTGCATCTGGGCTTCCTGTCTCCAGGAGACAGCTTTTATTAGTGTTCCTCAAACACATCATGTCCTCGGCCCCACCTGGGCCCTTTGCTCCTGCTGTCCCTGTACCAGGCATGCCCAGGCTGTGCCTGCTGTTGTAGATGCTGTCCAGCTTTTCATCTCCTTTCATCTTGAAGATGCCTCCATTTCTCAGATCCCCGAATCTCTTTTATGGTCTTTTCTAGGAGTAGTTCTTCCATCAGTTGTGTGAAATTCTGGTTTCCTTAATAAATTATCTTCTCTTTTTAGTTTTAGTCATCTTATAAACCAAAATATGTATCATGATGTTTTGGGCAATATACAAAATTAAATATTTTTGAATAAATAAGTGCATTATCTCAGGAACATATAATGTGAATTTTTAAAAAATCTTAAGACAAAAATTTGAATATTATATAGTCTACATTAATAGGAATTATGCAATAAAAATGAAATGGTAATGGTTAAACATATTTATTTTCGTGTTATAATTTGTATTCCATCTTTGAAAGGTTTTAAGAATTACAATTGGCTTTCACTTATATAGTGAAAGGTACTGTTTTTATGGTTATGGATGTCATCCTTGCTTCTACCCACAGCTTCAATTCTCCTTTTTTGTAAGTGGGTGTTTTAGGGACAAAGGGAATAAAAATCAATCAGTTAAGTGGAATTTTATTTCCAAGGCTGATACTTAAGGGTGTATTCCTGTTACAGAATTTCAATAATAAGTTTGTTTTCAAGCTTTTTGTTTAATACCAAGCCCCCTTGGCAGGTAAAACAAGGACTGTCCTTGAATGCTATTAAATAGAATTCCTTTCCTGAAATATATATATATATATATATATATATATATATATATATATATATATATATATATATATATATATATATATATATATATATATATATATTTAAAAAGAGAACTTCGGGGAATATACTATGTTGTCACTTGACAGGACTGTACTTGGTTGGTAGCAAAGACAATAACACAGCCTTCAACACCAACACCCCCATCCCCAGGAGGCCTTTTCCTTTACCAAGAATAAGGACTTAGCTGAAGGGTTTTGTTGCTGATCTCAAACAGGGAGCCAAAGGCAAAGTTCAAACAAACATTATCAGTCTTTTAAAAATGTCATTGCTTATGTATATCACCTGTGATCCTTGGGTGCTGGTGAGCCTCAAGCACCCCTGAGGTAGCTGGATATTAAATTGTAGTCTATTTATATTTGATATGTGGTGTTTAACTTAGATAGTGCTGGCCATGATGAATATTGTTCAGTTCACAGTTAGTGTTTATGTTCTTGGTCTTACACACACACACACACACACAAACACACACACACACACACACACGTGGCTTAGCTTCACTATACTATGATTCCTAGAGGGCAATTTTAAAGGCTAACATAGTGTTGTGGAGAATGTCTAAATTATCCAATTATCATTCATTTTTTTGGTACTAGCAATTGAACTCAGAGCCCCCAGCTTGCTACACATAAGCTGTACCATGAACCCACTGTCCCCCAGCTCCTGATGTTCGTTATATAAGGCTATTTATTCATCAAATAAACTCACTTGGTATTCTCTGGACCATATTTATAATTATAGATTAAAATGAAGATTTAGAACTCTGTTTTGTAGAAGTTATTTCCACGATGTGAATGATGTATTTTAAATTAATGCCGACTATCATTTTCAGATTTAATACATAATCTGACAAATGTTCAGAGCAACTGATAAAGTCAAAGCATGATTATTTTAGAGTTTAGCCTTGTTGATCTTGGGATGTCACACTTTTTCTATGTGACTTCTGCAGACAACAGAGGGAAATTTCCCCTAAGCCTGAAGGCCCCTCGAAGAAATTGACCAAGATTAGTCTGGGGAAAAAAAGCATACAAATTTAGACACTTGTGAAAGGGGGTGGGGGGAAATCACAGTATAGGGGACAAAGACATGATTGAGACTATCCAGAAATACTCAGAAGCATACCTCTTTTTCTGTTAGAGAGGTGGTATTTGCAGATTGCAGACTGTAAATTTTTATTGAATATAATTAAGGCTCTAGGAAACAATCCCTTTGGTATTTGCATGTGCTTGGGATATGATCTGGTCATGGGAGTCTGTCCGGTATGGTTGCATTCTTGCTTTCCATAGTGAGATAGTAGGTTTTCAGGCTGAGAATGGAAGACAGCTGCGTATCCCTTTCTGCAGCTGAGTGTTCATACCTGGGGGAGGGGGGAGTGTGTGGAGTGGAGGAGGAAACATAAGAGGACCTTGATCTAGAACCTTCTTTTAAGACCGTCAAATTCCCTTTTGATGATTTTTTTTTCAGCTTAACAGTCAGCCATAGTTTTATGGTATCCTTCCCTGAGCCCTCGCCTCTCCTGTTTATATTAATAGGAAGTTCTTGACCATAGTCTTTTTAGACATAACTTCATTTGGAGAATGGCTAAGATCCTCCCTACTCCACTCACCACACTTCTAATTCTGTTATCAGTTTCTAAACTTTATTTAGGATAGAGCATCTTTGGGAATATATGCCGCTATCAGGAAGAAATCATTGCTTTGTATATTAGATGCCAGATTTTCAATGGGCATTTGCAAAGCACCTATCATGTTAACTGTAGAGTTTTAGTTTGTTTTAAAGTAATTCTGAGAACTTACAGAGAAATGTTTGTGCAGGCAGGGGGTAGCTCGTTCTTTCTCTTCTCTTCCGTAGCCCTGCGGTGCATATACATGAAATGCCTTTGTTCTCGTCTTTTCTGCCTGATTATTATGGTCTCTAAGTGCTTTGTCTTCGCCCCTCTGGTGTATTCCTTGTGCCTTAGTCAGTGATTGAGTGAATAACTTTGTTTACATCGAACGGAGGTCTGGAGCACGCTTTTTTTTTTTGGTGAGATGAGAGATGGAGGAAGAAACCCATAGAGTGGGGTGGATAGGAGGGGAAAGCAGAGGTAAAAATCAAAACAACAATAAAATGAAAACACAAACACAAGCCGGGAGTGGGTGTAGGGGAGGAAGAGCAAGCTAAGGCAGAACAGGGGCTTCACTCGGGGGTCTGTGAAGTCGCGGGGGCTTGTCGCGGGGGTGGAGAGAGATCAACAGACCAGCATTTTCCCCAGGCTTGGGCGCAAGCTTGTGAAACTCCTCATGTATTAAAGAACCTCGGCTGGGATTTGCTGAGGACAAATGCTGTAATGTGTTAGTCATCCATTATCGGCTTCTATTTTTGCAGGTTCCGAATGATGACTGACGCGGGTCTGCGCGATAGCCCTCACAGCCCCTGTCCTTGCGAGCGATAAGGACCTCGCACGTCCGTCCGGCAGCCGCACCGGGGCTCAAGGCGCTCTGGAGGGCGGGCGGCTCCCGCGGGCGGAGCGGACTCCAGTGCCGCTTCCCACGCACCGGGACCAGACCTCCCGGACCCGGCTGCCCGCGCGTCGCCCGTCGCCCGGGGCCATGAAGTAGCAGTGGCCGCCAGCCCTGCCCTCCCGCCGGCCCGGCTGCTACACGCTGCCCCGGCCCCAGCTCGGACATGGCCGGACGCGCCCGCAGCCTGCTGCTGCTGCTGCTGCTCACCCTGCAAGGCAGCTGCCTGGCCTTCAGAAGCCCACTTTCTGTCTTTAAGAGGTGCGTGTTTGGCTTGTTTGTGTTCCTATCCCGGGAGGAAGGTAGTTGGGGTGGTTTCTGTGCATGCTTCTTAGAAATGTAGTCACTTGTAGTAACCAGGGTCCTTGGGGGGAAAAAAAAAAAATCTCTACAAGGCTGGTTCTCTCTACCCAAAACGACTTGGAATTTTAGCCTCAGTAACTTCTCCTCAAGTGCCCCTTGCAGATAAAGCCCACCCAACGTCCTGTAGCCAAGCTGCCCCCCTGGCTTTCGGAACTCCAATTAGAAGTTGTGACTTCCAGAACTAATCGCTCCCTCTTGGGGAAATATTTCAGAAACTACCATATAGTTGTTAGACTATACTGCATGCCTTCCTGTGTATAACACCTGGAGAAATAAAATATCAAGATAGATCGGTGGTGGGGAGAAGACCATTGGCTATAATAGCTCACTAGGAAATATCGAGCTGTATACACGTACCTCGTAATTACCAGATGAAATATTTATGTACTTGTACATTTGTAATTCGCATCGCAGTCTTTATTTCTTCCTCCCATAACTGTACTTAGCAAGATTGTGGTTAGAGAGGTTTTGTTGTTCGTTTCCGATTAGTAATGTTGGACTTCCGCAGTTGACAAAATGTGACTGGGTTCCAGGTCATAGCCTTACCACTAGAAAAATCAGCGTGCGTGTGAGGATGATAACACGTCTTCATTAAGTAGAAATAAATATGTATTACAGGCTTTTATTGAGCTGAACTTTAAGTGTGCCCTGCTTAGTGGCTTTGATCGTCTTTTGCTTACAAATTGGCTCTGTGTTGCTCATCGACAATAACGTGATCCTGGGTGTCGGGTTGTTACAGAGTTGTCGCATTATAGTTTTTATTGGATCTACATTAGTAATCCTTAAACTTAAGGTCATAGGACTTATTTCTGCCCTTCCAATTATGTTCAAGGGTGTTAAAATGATCTTCTTTAGGTTTAAAGAAACTGCCAGATCCTTTTCCAATGAATGCCTTGGAACCACCAGACCTGTAACTCCCATTGATTCATCAGATTTTGCATTGGATATTCGCATGCCTGGGGTCACACCTAAAGAGGTGCGTGGAACTCTCTACTTTATTATTCAGCTGTTCATGTACTGTCTAAAATTGAAGCTTAAATGAGGAACCTGCATGCATAGCTGCAGTAACTTCTTTGCTTTCAGGCTCCCCAGATGAGGCTAGGATACTATAAAAGGGGTAAGACTTCAACACGAAATATTCAGTTAAATTATGTTCATTAAAGTGTTACTCGTATTTTTATTGTGACTTGAAATAGAAACTTGAAATTTTACAGTTTGAGATTCTCCATGGAGAAATGGCCTCTGTGGTACGGCATTTAAATATACACTGAAATAAGGAAAATGTTCTAATGAAGGAAATAACATTGAGCAGCTGCATCTCCCAGATTACCGTGTTTGTTAAAATACCCTTCCAAAGCAGCCACAATTAAGATAGAAAATCCTGTTTGCTGCCAAGAATTTGAAAAACCAAACATTCCACAGTTTGGAAAGTTGGGGAAACTATTCATACAGGTGGTAGGATGGATTTTCTAGAGATATATTTTGAAGAAATAGCAGCGGTGCTCACACAGATGTGTCATGGTTCACGTGAAGGTTGCTAGGCACCCCATGTCGGAGCACACACAAGAAGCTAACACACACTGCCATGTGTGCAAGGTGTTTCATTAAGCATGGAAAGGCCAGGATTAATTATGCTCTGCAGCCAGCCAGAGAGGGGATTTATGTATGTCATTAAAAGAGAGCCTTCTGCTTTTGAAGGGCTGAAGACAGGGAGAGGCCTGGACGTGGAAGAGCTGCAGTGGCCGATGACTCATTCTTGCAGATAATGGACTGTTTCCTCTTTTTCCCTCTTAGCACTGGGAAAAGAAAAGTATTCTATTTATTGAGGAAAATGACTTTTGAAACAGACAACCAGAAGCTCTAGAAAATACACACGGACCTTTTACTTCAGGGTAAAACCTGACAGTATTTGAAGACTGGAGTATGGTTCTGGGTAACTACTTTACAGCTATGTAAGAAATGGCCCCTACTGTCTCCACATCCCCACGTCATCAGGCAGATACCTCTTCTGTACATTTTGTTATTTCTGCCCTGACCCTGAGTTTCATAATCACCTTATGTAGTATTTTATAAGGTACCAAGACTAGAACACAGAACCACAGTCCCCCACCCGAGAAATGAGCTGTTTGTTTCTTTCTTTCTTTTCAGTTTTAAAATTGAGTTTTTAACCATACTTCTTTAAACTTAGCTGCTTAGTTTTTTATATGAAATAATCACTGGTTGGTCATCTGGTTTTTTTCTTTCTTCTTTCTTTTCTTTTCTTTTTTTTTTTTTTTTTTTTTGAGATTGTCTCCCTCTACACTGTGGGCTGGCCTAAAGCTCAAGGCAATCCTCCTGCCTCAGTTTCCTCACTGCATGAATTAGAGGAATGTGTTACCATGCCCAGCTTCAGCTTCAGTAATTGGTCTTTTTGCATGTTCCCCACAAGAACATCATGTATACTAGTTTTAATCAAATAATAAATTAGCACTGTTTGGAAATGTCCCCTTATCTTTGTTACGGTTTCACAACAGTAGTAGGCAATTCTACTGCAACCAGTACTCCCAGAAAGAGTAACTAGAAGAGTTTTAAAAATGTGGAAGAGCTCTGTTTACAAAAGATGAATCTCCATTCATCTTATAGTCTTATGGTTATCAAAACAATGGCGTGGAAAGAGAGCATGTAGTATTTAAGTTGTTGCTGTTTATTTTGCACTCTAGGCACAGGATTTTGCCTTGTGCAGGCCATTTGTTGGTTTCCTTTGCAGCGGAGTTGCTTTCCTACTTGCTCCTTCTCTAAGGACATGTGGTTCCCAGGAGCCATCTCCAGATGGGGAGTGAATGGACTGGGGTTAGCAGATGGCTAGATCTTGCTTCCCTTCCACAGTGATTGATTCAGAAAAATATACACGTCCTAGAACAGCCCAATCAACTTTCAGGACTTTTGCTAAGAATGCATTTTCCTCTTTTATGTGAGTGACAAGCATGGAGTCCTGGTGTATACTAGCTTTATGAGAAGGTGCCTAGGATAATACAGAGAGACTGAAACAATGGAAGTTCTTGGTGACTTCATCACTTTGGTCACTTTTGCTTATGTTAGCCATTACTATTTCATCCAAGCTGGGTTGAGGTTTGTCTTAACTTGCAGCTACAACTGTCTAACTGGGTGAGTGATTCAGTTGCTCTGAAACAGCTTAGATCTGGTTAGAATGTCCCATCATCTTCCCTCAACATGCTTGATTCAATGTGTTCTGCATACTGACTCACCTACAGATGATACGGCTTTATAAACTTTCATGAAAAATGATAGGCTGCCCATGACAGACAGATAGAAAACCTCTTTCCTCCTCAACTTGGCATTCTTGGTGAGGTGGACTCAGAGCTATGATACTGTAAGTACTTTTAGTGAAGAAAAATAAAAAAAGGCAATCACCCTTGTCTTAAAATGCAGCTAAAACTAGAGTTAACACAGGTAAGAAGAAATGAGGAAAAGGGGGAAGAAAGAATGAAAAGTATCAGAATGAAGAAACAAAAGGTAAAGGGGACATGAGAGTTGACCCAAACAAATAAAATCCAAGGAAGTAAAATGGTCAAGAACGAGAACAAATGGGCAAAATATAGGTTATCTGGAATAGGAAGAAGAAAATACTTCTTAAATCAAGGAACAGCGAAGAGGAAAGGAAAATGTAAAGCTGGGAAGTATGCTGAGAAGATTTCCTATCAGTTGTGGCTCAACCAGAAAAACAGAATTCACACAGGAAATAATGGAGAAGCCAGAACTCAGTGTCAATAGCCAAGGGCTGTCCAAGAAACAGGTCATTCAATCTAGATCTTAGGAACTATTGCTTATGTTTTGGAAATGTTGAGAATGGGTATGGATTAAAGCTGGTGGAAGGCTTCTGCTTGAGAAATGAGGCTGTAGGCTGGGGTAAGAAGGCAAGCAGATGTAGAATGGAGGGGGAAGAGACCTTAGGGATAATTCACACAGTACAACTAACTAACTTCACAGATGGAATACAATCCTAGATTAGTATCTCACCCAAACACACCCTGTCACGTCTCTGCATTATGGTTCTTCCTGATACTACAGGAGCTCAGAATGTCATTAAAAGTTACTCAATTAAACCTGAACTGGTTTGTTTAGGAAAAGAAACTGGGACTCTATTACAATATCTATTGGTGGAAGTATTAAGGCAACTCCATGTAGTTAAAAAGGAGGTTTATTTTGTGGGGTAACTTACAAGTAAAGATATAGGTTACAGAGTCCAGGAGAGGTGAAGTGCAGTCCAGCAGTGTTCTCTAGAGAACTCTACTCAGTCTACATGCAGCATCCAGGATCCAGGAATCAAGAGGACCGGCACATCCGGATCTCCAGTCTTAAGGGCTCCTGTCTCGCCCCTCCCTCATAGGCATGACAGTTACCAGAAGCCTCAGTGGGGGTAGTACTTCCAGGACAAAGCTGGAACAGCGGACCACTACAAATATCAGTTTTTTAATTTTATTTATAATTGTTAGTATTTGTATCGAAGAGGGAAGGGAAAGGAAAGAAGGGGAGGGGAAGAGAGAAGAGGGGCAGGGGAGGAGAGGGGAGGGGAGGAGAGGGGAGGGGAGGAATGCATGTGTGCCTGAGTCAGAGGACAGCTTTCAGGAACTGATGCTTTCCTTCCATTGTGGTTCTGTCAATAAAACTCATTGTGAGGTTTGTGAGGCAAGTACCTTTGACCTGCTAACCCCTCCCACCTAAAGTAGAAAACAGTATTTTTGTGTGTTCTAGGCTGTAATGGTCTTCATATTATCAACACAAAATTCTTCAAGTAGATTCAGTGGAGCATGTGCTTTGTGTCCACCTGGGACTGTGTTCAGTCTTTAGTGACAGATACCAAAACCAAAAGACAAACCAAACAAACAACAACAAACCTAGACAAAGGACTAAGGAATGCTGAGAGCATGAGAAATGTCTTCCCCAGGGAAGAGCACCCGCTGATTGCCTTGTACCAAATGGTCAGTCCTGAAATCATAAAGTAACATTATATGGTCTAAGCAGGTTGTATTTATATAGTTAGGAAGACAAACACACACACACACACACACACACACACACACACACACACACACACACACACACACACACACACTACCACCAACACCAACAACACCAACACCACCACCAACAACAACAATTAAAGAAAAAAAGGGGGCATGAATTTGGAAGAGAGCAAGGAGGAATACATGGATGAGAGGGTTTGGAGGGATGAAAAGGAAAGGGGGAAATGATGTGTTATAGTCTCAAAAAATTTTTTAAAAAAAGTAAAATTTAAAAATATTAAGTAAACAGGTAATAGGGGAAAAGACTTTTCAGCACGTATTTCTGAAACTCACTATCAACAAATCAGTCAATGGCTAAAGGAATGCAACAGATTTTTTACCTAACGGCTTAATTAAGCAAAGAACTAAGTAACCAATCTTTCCTTTTACATATCGAAAAAACTAGATAAAGGAAAACCCGGAAGTTCTAGATCTTTTATGTAAAACAGCTTTTAAAAAGGAGGTGAAAATTAAAGCTACAACTACCACTATTATAATACTGTCCAATTCTGAAGGTCTCTGTATGTATCACCAAGAACTGTTGTTAGAAATATCAATGCAATGAGATTCAAACTGTAGATTTTTTTTAAAGCAGACTTTTCTATATAGTCATACAGCATGCCATCTTATCTTGTTATGAGAATAATAGCATAATGAATGATCTCTGGCTTTGATTATACACTCAGTTAAACTCACTCTGACATGGAAATTTTTATGTACTTCCTATTCTTTTATTCATTTCCAAGTCATGAATATTTGGGGATTTATTTATTTGTTTTTAGATTTGAGAAGCTGATGGGGAAGAGTAGCAACTTTAAAACTACTGCTTGTAGAGGTTCAGTAAGGACCTGGTGTCCAGCGACACTATTTCAAACACAGCAGAGCCAAAAAGTAGCAATGCATTAAGACTGCT